TTACACTGTTTGAGATTCAAATAAAACAACACACAAACTGTACTAAAATTATGAATAGTTCATAAAATTTGTTCCCAAAACGATGAAGATCTTAAAGAAATTTTGGAAGCCTTTCATTTGTAGGGTCATGAGGTGCCAAATGGATGGCCTTTTGGGCTTGGAAGTATGAACATGAGACTTAGTGTTGAAGGTGTTGTGGATGCAAGAGAACCAAACACTTTTCATGGTCCATGTTCAAGCTTTTCTTCATTTTCATCATCCAACTTAGACACCGAGGTATTCACATTTTGTTACTTGTATTCTTTTGTTTTGTTGTTATAATCTGGTAAACTGTATATGAGTGTTTCTGTTTTTTGTAGTCAACGGTGTCGTTCTTTCAAGACAACAGTGTGTCTCTAGGTCGATTGATAGGAATCAAACCACGAGACAATGGAACATTGTACTTTACAAGAGCATCATGCATACCACCACAACAAAGATCCCAAAGCTCCAAGGTATCGTCTAATGATCATCAAATTGAAAATTCTCATGGGGTTTGTGTTCCGAATTTGTTCAACATTTTAGTAAAGATGAGTAGAAGTAAAAGCCAGTCAAGATAGTGAATGAAGTTGGGTTTCTTCATCGTTGGTCAATATATTTGATCATATAAGGTTTTGGATTCAAAATGTGTGAAAATGTAGTTCAACCCTTGGTTGTATGCTTTGTATAGATGATAAGATGCAAATAAATTAAATAATGATGAAACATGCAAAATGAATGATGAAAATTGTGACCAATATTTTTTTTAATATAATTTTACCAAGTGTGTATGTAGTTTGTCAATAAATATATTAAAAGATCAAATAGTTTAATACATGGTTCGTTTAAAGTAGTTAAACATGGAAAATATCTATAGGCAATTGTTATCATAGTCTTTTAATATATAAATAATTCATTCATTTATTATAATATACCATATGTACGGAATGAAAATCATGGTTCCCTTATTGTTCCCCTCTACTACCATTATAACTACCTACTCCAAAAAAAATGTCTTGTTAAGGTAGGGAGCACATTAAATATTTAATTGAACTACTAGGCCCTCAAACACGATCCATGTTTTTTTTCTTGGCTAACGAGAAAAAACGTCATACGAACGAACCTTGATATTCAAAATGGAAGTTTCAAACTCAAAGTTGAAAAATATAGTTTTTATTTGTATAGAAATGTTCAATAAAAGTAGTATAGTTTTTGAAAAATGCAAAATGACATACAATAATAATCATTTTATTAAAGAAATGCGATCTTCACCATCGATATTCAAAATGGAAGTTGCAAACTCAAAGTTGGAAGCTATAACTTTTATCTATTTAGAAATGTTTGATGTAACTTTTATTTGTTTAAAAATGTTGATGTAACTTTTATTTGTTTAAAAATGTTTGACAAAAGTAGTCGTATGCTTTTTGAAAATTGCAAAATGACATAAAATAACCCTAAAAAGTTTGTCTCAAACATTCCTGGGTAACAAGCCTAGCCAAAAGGACCTCAACATTTTGACCAGAAAAGTGCAAGAATCACAAACACATGATCTTTAATAAGTTGCTATTAACAATCAAATCTTACACTTTTTTTTTTCTTTCACATTCAATAAACTACTACAAACAAGCATAATTTCTTGGAATCAACCAATGTAATCATTTCAAAAGATAAACCACTTAAAATGACATTAGGGTAAAATTCTAATACGTGTTATACGAGGATATCAACACGAAAAGGTTAAACCAAACCTTTTGTAGTTGTATATCAAAAAACCCACAAGTCACAAGAACAATCATACCACATACCATTAATCAAATTCAATTCATTCTTCAACATTCACCAACTCATACTCGATCAGAGATAAGTTGTTATCCTCTTTCACAGTGAAACTTGCAGGTTCTGTAACTTCAATGCGTCCCCATTTATCCACAGCAAGTCTCATGGAGCCTTTGAACATGTCGATCTTTGCATTACGTATTATTACAGTTGTTTCAGGCTTCATCAAATCAACTGCAATGAACATATAATTGTTTAGAATATGCAAACATTTCATAGCTATATTACTTTGCTTTCCCAAATAAGTAGTTCAATTGTTGCATTGATTCAAGAGTATATCATTAGCTTGAAGAACAGCAAAAAGAAATTAATTTGTAGTCAATATCATATACATGCCACAAATAAAACTGCAAGACGAGGTACGATAAAGTTAATTGAAAGCTCAAATGCAAGCCTCGAGTGCAATCGGTTAGATTGAACACTGTAATTACAGATACAGATCGATAAAAGTCATGTATTTGTAGATCGAGGAAAGTATCATATAAAAAGGCGTTAAAGAGATAGATACAGAGAGAGAGAGAGAGAGAGAGAGAGAGAGACCTTGATCGTTACGAGCAGTGAAAAGAACGGTGCCGGTTTCATCGCCGATAAGGCACTCGGAGATGCGAGTATGAGCAGCTCCGGGGCGACTAGTGTACGACGATGTATAGCGTGATTTCTTGTCTAAGACGGTGGTGGCAGACAAGACTTTGACGGCGAGTGTGTGGCCGTTGGTTCCAGGTTTTAGATCACCGACCTTCACAAAAACAGGCTTCCTCTTCGTTACTACTCGAGCTACCGGTTCTGGTTGTTTAATATCAATCTCCGTCTCCGCCGCTGTCGACATCGCAACCGTGGAATCGAAGTTCAGTCGGTCAGTTGACTAGTTACTCCCCACCAATCGATAAACCCTAACCCTAATAGACAACGGGGATTCGACTGCATTTTGGGGATTTCGGGTTTGGGATAGTTTTCATTTAAGTACTCCATGTTTTAAAATGTGACCAGTTGAACCTTCTACTTTTCTGTATTAAATTTTATTCATAAATAAGTTTTAATCTTGCGGGATAAATTGTGATGTCGATAATGACTTTTAAATACTTCCATAAACGTAACTCGAAAAAAAAAAAAAAAAAAAAGTCTAGAAAGTTATTAGAAAATATTATTACTTATGAGTATATTCAAAAACTTAAATAATAAATATATGAACTTATACATAAATAAATTGGATTTAGATTAGAGTTATTGACTGACTATAAAGTGTGGAGTCTTATTTAAAAATAAGGTTGATACAGTTTTGTGAAAGCAATTTATTTTTCACGAACCAACTTTATTATGTCCAATCAGTTATATATTACAATATACAATATATATTGTTGAAACTTTCATAAACAATAGCTATAGAATATTAACTATTGAAAATATAAACAAAGATGGTGATCTAGCATATATCATGAATTATATCCTAGTAAGTTTATAAAAGATCTTCTATTTTAAATATTTTAAATTTCTTGTTTTGTTGAATTAGTAATTATGTTGTATTTATTTAGTTATACAGAAGAGAAACAACAACTTAAAAAGACCCGCCAATTCATAGTTATTTTGGTGAATAACTTGTTAATTTTGTGAATAACTTGTTAAAAATTAGTGTTGTTGTTGGAGAACAGCTTATGAGGATTAATGTGCATACATTTTTAACGTGTACAAGCATATACACAAAAGCTTGTATTGTTGACGGTTGATAACCTTCAGTGACGAATCTAGAACTGAAAACAATATTATTCATAATCTAAATGAGACCGATGAAAACGAAAGAGTAAAAAAAATTATTAGTTGTTGGTCGAGTTGTATGTAGGGTTTTACAACCCCGGGGCCTGACGAATCTAGAACAAAAAACAATATTATTGATAATCTAAATGAGACTGATAAAAACGAAAGAGTAAAAAAAATATTAGGTGTTGGGTCGAGTTGTATGTAGGGTTTTACAAACCTGGGGCTCGGGCAACCTGACGACTTACTCTGGGCCATCTAATGAGATAAGTTTTGCAACATTGGTTAAGAAAATCATAAATCTCTTAAACTCGGTCCAACTCGAACAGATTCAACATAAAAAAAACTAGTGATTTTTTGGAATATAACAAGATTAAACCAGTAAAAAGTAAAAACCGACTCAACATGCAAAAATACTATTAAATGACAAACAAATCTAGGATTTTAAGCATTAGCTTTTCTTACTCAATATTTCCACTCAACAATGTTTGAATGAGAGCTGAAAGCTTTGATTGCTTAAACAATCTATAACAAATCTTCCCACCACCTTCCTATTTATAAGTAACAAAAACCTTAAAATTCCATAGCTTTTACAGTTTTACTCCACTTTAAACGTTTAATATGATTCATATTGACAATTATATATGGTACTTATTATATGAAATGATTTAATTGGTTAAACCAAAAAAATAAATATTATATAATTTGTTTATTTAAAATTAACGTAAATGATTATTATTCAATGTTTTATATTCAGGTTTTTGATATTCTTAGAGGTTTGAGCAAACCTGGAAGCTTGGAAAAGTACATTTTTTTTTTAAGTGTTTGAGTTGGGCCCAAAGGAGGTTTGAGCAAACCTGGAAGCCTGGAAAAGTACATTTTCTTTTAAAAGGTTTGAGTTGGGCCCTAACGATATTCTTTTGTGTTTTCTCCCATACAGACTTGAATCAAACAAATAGTTACAAAAAATTAATTAAAGATAGAGACAAGAATATAATTTCACTTCAAATAGCAATATTGATTATTTCAACTTTAATCTTAAGATATACTATTTGAGTTTACCAAATTATAGACAAGTGTGCAACATTCTACCAACTGTTGTATTTAAAATGAATTTTTTGAAGGCATCCTACTAAAGGGATTGATTCGAACTTTATTAAAAGCTAAAGGGCATATATAAAAACTTGTGTGTATTCCCTAGGATACAAATATACGATATAAAACATGTGCTGTGTATGGGATCCGACCCATGTATCTTCGGCGATTATTTTCCCTCCACAATCTCCATCAACCACAAATTCAACTCTACAAATCCATCTTCTTCGCTAGGCGCATACAATCTCTGGCCATAATCACTGAAAATCCACAGACTACAGCTACCTTAAACGTCCCCCACGATGCTGAATGGACACCCAACTCGATTTCCTACTCTAAACTCTTATCTCAATTTTGTCAAACCAAGTCGCTCAATCCAGGGATACAGATCCCATACCCACCTGATCAAACTCGGATTGGAGATTGATCCAAAACACAGGAATCATCTCATCAATTTATATTCAAAGTGTCTAGCTTTTGACTGTGCACGCAAGTTGCTCGATGAAAGTCCTGAACCAGATTTAGTTGCTTGGTCCACTTTGATATCAGGGTATGCCCAAAATGGTCTCGGTAAAGAGGCACTTTTGGCTTTTACAGAGATGCACTCGTTGGGTATTAGATGTAATGAGTTCACATTCCCTAGTGTCCTCAAAGCTTGCTCCATGAAGAAGGATATCATTGGAGGGAAACAGATACATGGAGTTGTCATGGTGACTGGTTTCCAAAATGATGTTTTTGTTGCCAATACATTGGTTGATTTATATGCAAAATGTGGTGAGTTTCTTGATTCAAGGAGGCTTTTTTTATCAGATTCCAGACAGAAACCGAAACATAGTTTCTTGGAATGCAATGTTTTCTTGTTATAAACAGGGTGATTTCTTTAAAGAAGCAATTGATTTATTTCAAGATATGATTGGTAATGGATTGATCCCAGATGAGTTTAGTTTATCAACTATAATCAATGCATGCACAGGTTTACAAGATATAACCCAAGGGAGAAAAATTCATGGGTATTTAATCAAACATGGGTACACTTCTGATCCCTTTTCGTCTAATGCACTTGCTGATATGTACTCAAAAGTTGGAGACTTTGAAGATGCTAAAACAGTCTTTGACCACATTCCTAACCCTGATATAGTCTCCTGGAATGCAATCATTGCTGGTTGTGTTCTTCATGAATACTATAATTTATGTTTGGAGTTATTTTTTAAGATGAAAAGGTCAGGAATCACACCGAATAAGTTTACTTATTCGAGTGCTCTTAAAGCTTGTTCTGGATTAGGTCTCCAAGATTTGGGCCAACAGTTCCATTCCTTTCTTATAAAATCAGAAATAGAATTCGATCTTCATCTTTGTTGTGGGCTTATTGATATATATTCAAAATGTGGTGAAATGGATGATGCCCAAAGGGTATATGATATGATGCCAAAAAAAGAGTTGATTGCATTAAACGCTTTGTTATCTGGACACTCTGAAAACGGAAATGACATTGAAGCTTTGACCCTTTTTGCTAAACATATGGACAAAATAGGATTTGATGAAACCACTTTAATTAAAATCCTCAAATCTTAGGCTAATTTGCAAGATGTTTATGTTAGTGAACAAATTCATGGTTTTTCTTTAAAATCTGGATTCCAATCGGACCCTTTTGTCATAAACAACCTCGTTGTTTCTTATTCAAAATGTGGTCATGTGGAAATGGCAAAAATGTTATTTGACGAATTGGATACCACTGACTTGGCGACTTTTACATCTTTGATATCTGGGTATGCTCAGTCGGGACAAGGTGAAGAAGCTATAAAACTATATTTAAAAATGCAAGATTTGGAGCTTAAGCCCGAGTCTTACATTTGTAGCTCTCTTCTAAAGGCTTCGGCTATTTTATCTGCTTATGAACAAGGTAAACAAATCCATGTTCATACCTTAAAATCCGGTCTTTTATTCGATGTTCATACCTCGAATTCTCTTGTAAACATGTATGCTAGATGTGGAAGTATAGAGGATGCTAGTCGTGCTTTCTTTGAAGTTCCTGAAAAGGGTATCGTCTCATGGTCCACTATGATTGGTGGACTTGCCCAACACGGACACGAGAAAGAAGCACTTTCGTTTTTTGACAAAATGTTAAAAGACGGAATCGCCCCTAACAACGTGACTCTAGCTAGCGTCCTATCTGCTTGTAACCATGCGGGGTTGGTAACTCAAGCGGAAACATACTTCGAAACAATGGAGGACGTTTTCGGAATTAAGCCAACACAAGAACATTACGCGTGCATGATTGATATTCTTGCGCGTTCGGGAAAGTTAAATGAGGTGATGGATTTGTTAAGTCGGATGCCATTTGAGGCTAATGCTTCGGTTTGGGGGGCGGTTCTTGGTGCTGCAAGAACTCATAAAAACGTTGACCTTGGTCAACGCGGCTGCCCGAGAGCTTCTTTGTTCTTGAACCGGAAAAATCGGGCACCCGTTCTCTTCTTGCGAATATATACGCATCAGTTGGTTTATGGGAAGAGGTTGCGGATACAAGGAGGTTGATGAAAGATAGTAAGATCAAGAAAGAGCCCGGGATGAGTTGGATTGAAGTTAAAGATAGGGTATACACATTCATAGTAGGAGATAGAAGCCATTCTATGAGTGAAGAAATATTTAAAAAACTTGGGGAGTTGATGGATTTGATTCGTGAAGAAGGGTATGTTCCGGTTTTGGAAAATGATCTTCATAATGTTGCAAGAAGTGAAAAGGAGGTGCTTTTGTTGTATCATAGTGAGAAACTTGCGGTTGCTTTTGGGCTCATTGCTACTCCTCCAAGAGCTCCGATTAGGGTTAAAAAGAATCTTAGGGTTTGCATAGATTGTCATACTTTTTTGAAATTTGTTAGTAAAGTTGTCACGAGAGAGATTATTGTTAGAGACATCAACCGATTTCACCATTTCCGAGACGGAAATTGTAGTTGTGGAGATTATTGGTGAAACTCTGATGTCGATAGATACCTGATTTACATATTACTTGATACACTTGTGGCCATCAAGGGTTGCCCGGACTTGTAAAACTAGGATTGTATATGGTTTTCATCAAAAAGGAAGGTAATTATAAATTGGGCTAAATACAAGAAATAACAGTTTAGTTTAATTTATTAGTTTATTATAACAATTTA